AAGTCATGCCTCTGTAGATTCAAATTAGTAAACACACTGATAGTTGACAATGTAAACATTAAAATACTTTGTATAATAATAAAAATAAATTAACTATACCGTGAACATCCAGTCCAAGTGATAACCTTCTGCATTAGTTGGTGCATTTATTGCCTCCGCTCGGCGATTTCGGGAAGACCTAGATACCATCTCGCCACTTAATTAAAAAAAAAGATGTAAGAACTACTGCAAATAAAGTAAATATTTAAAAATAGCAATAAACCTACAAATGACTGTCCAGAATAGTATCAAAACAAGCGAAAATGTGCCGTTTTATAAATACATCAATGTCGCGTTCAGTATTTGGTCGTTGAGTAATTCCTTTTGAAATCATTTCGCATCTGAATGAAATTGTTACATAAGACTTGTTAAACACAATGAATGATAACATGTAATTTAGTACTTAACTATTAAAACTTGCGTGAATCGAATTAAATCAAAGATGAAAGCAACATCCGGATTCATACAATCGTCGGGAGTTAATGGTGAAATCTCTTCGTGCTGATCCGTTTCATTATCTTTTTCATCAAATAAATTATCCGATTCTGGAACTTTATGTTCCTTTATTTTTTCCAATAATTTTTGAAGCTCAATAATCGCACCATGTGTTCCTCTTGGTCTTACTATTTCTCCAATAATTCGGAGTTGATCGTTGTCAAGCTGGAAACCAAAACAAAAGCATGTATCAATAAATTTCAATTGAAATACTTAATTTCTATCATTTACCTTTTCGAGAGACTGTAAGCAACTTTCCGCCTTTGGTTCTAATGTGGTCCAGTTTTCTAGAAGAGATGAAAACTTTGCATTCAATTCTAACAATTCATCTTCCGACATAATGGTACCGATCTCTGGATCGGATATATCAATAATCCTCCACCAAATTGGACTAAAATTTATTAGAACCTGGAAACCACAAATAATAAACAAATCAATGCTTATCAAACACTTACTTTAATGATGATTCATATTGGGTCTTTTTATCATTACAGTTAATAGCATAGGAAATTAATAAATCACGCTCTTGCGTTATTTTATCTATCCAATTTGGTTTCGGTGCATCAAATTCCCATTCAATATAGGATTCTTCATCATCTAAAACCTATTTGCACATTCACAAAATTTATATAAGAAAGTTTTTTTTGTTTTGCTAAAAATTAAAGCAAATATAAGTACTTCGGTCAAATCTGATAGTCCTTCGTCTTTACATTGACGTTTGTACAAATGGTCACCATCTTCCGAATCAAGTGGTCTAGTAATTTTTTCACGTTCCTTTTTCTTTTCCGAGGATGTTCCTCGTAATTGATCAATAAGTATTTGGTTTTCTTGTTGATCCTAAAAAATTTTAGTAAGTCTATTGGTCTATTGTGAACGTTGATTTGAATTTTCATAAAATTTACCCTTAATACTGTGGCAGTGTAAGTTGATGTTACGTTTATTCGCGCTTCTTCGTGATACTCAAGATCCTTGATGAATTGCTTAACCTCGGCAGTGGAGAATGATGAGTCAAAACTCGATAAAATCTTTGACGCCTTATTTTTGGCATTTACGTGAACATTAAACTTTTCTTGATATCTTCGTAATATTTTATACAAATCTTCTTTGAAATCATCGATTGTAGCTACAGATAATTTTGGGCTCGATTTCGATCGCGCAAATTCTAGAATTCCTAAAAGTGTCCAATTTTTATTAAGCGTTGTTTCAAGATATTCCGTCACTACAGATTCAAACATCTAAAAAAAAAATTTAATGCAAATAATGGTCATTATCTGTTTTAATTGGTAATGTTTACAGTCAACTGTATACTGGAAAACAGCCTGCTGGGTCTCGGGCCTTAAACACGTATGCCTA